AGTTCCCAGCTACTTTCAGCACGTCTGCTTCAACTCAGACTTTCAATCCCACAATGTTCACCACAGCTTAAACTTGTACTAATGACAGCTCCTTAAAGCAGCAAAGCTATTAAAAGATTCAAAAGCTAAATTTGTACCAGATGAATACCGTTTGATTCCCTCTCGTTCCTCTGCAGTGCCTTTCCGCGAGGCTCCAGCCTACTCCAAACGCCGACGGGGTCCGTCTTCTGGCAGCGGAAACGGCCAGTCCCCCTCCTCGTTATCAGCGCCACGGGTCCTCCTGCGCTCCAACAGCGACAACAACCTAACGGTCAGCCAGTACCAGCAGCAACAGCAGCAGCAGCAACAGCAGCAGCACGGTTCTCCTGGCAACTGGGCCCCACATCTGCAGCAGCACCAACACGCCCAGGGCCACAGGGGCGCCCAGCAGGGTCACTCGCAGCCTGGCTCCTCAGCATTACATCGCAGCCTGTCACCCCAGCTGCTCCAGCAGATGCCCAGCGGCAGCCCCAATGGCAACGTGGTGGTCCGGACCATGGGGAGGGGGGCAAGGAGCCGGTCACCCTCCCTCAGCCGGCTGGGGGAGGAGGCCAGACGGGGTATTCCTTCACAGCGCCAGCCCAGGTGAGTCTTTGCTGTACACTGGAGGGTGGAGGGGCTTCTTCTGTTTGGTGTTTGAGGGGGTTCCTATCCTCGATTTTTGTCTTTAGCAACATCCAGGCTCAAGGTCAGGGGTCCAATATGTGCCTCATAAATATGTTTCTGTCAATATTTTACTGTTAAATTCTTGCACAGATGCTAAAAAGAAAAAAAAAAATGCTGTCACTGTTGCTGCTACACCTGCATGTCCAGAGAATTCTTGTCTGGAGAAAATGGAGCACGAAATAGAATAAGATCACAGAGATGATGCCTTACCCCGACTCCTAAACAATAATATAATAACCTTAATACATAGTTCCTGACCAGCTGCATGGATACGTAGATTTAAAGCAACATGTTACTAGAGTGCATGAAAAAGCTTTTTTTAGTTGCCTTCAAACCCTGATTTATCTGTTTACTTAAAGGGGGAACTGCACCAATTTATATATGAAAGGTGTGCAGGGAAAGAAAAGAGCATTTAATTTGTCCAGAGGGAGATATACGAAGGCTCTTATTTTAAAGATATCAGTGGTTTTTTTTCCTGTTTTGCAGTTTTTGAACATTACAATATTCTGTTGTTTGTTTTTATCAGATTGTTGCTGGCACCCTCGCTGCCAGATTGTCACCATTTTGTGTTCCCTAATATTGTGTTGGTCCATCTCATGCTGCCAGAACAGCTCTGACCCATCGACACATTAAAACGGGACCTCTGTGGGTGTCTTGTGTCTTGTGAGATGGGTTCTCCATGGATTGGGATTGTTCTGGCATGCCCCGTAGATCCTCAATTGGAATATTATCTGGAGAGTTTGGAGGCCAGGTCAATGCCTTGGGTGCCTCGTCACATTACTCAAGCCATTTCTGAGCAGTTTTTGCACTGTGGCAGGGAGCATTAGTCCACTGGGGAGGCTGCTGCCATCAGAGAGACCTGTTTGGGGCGTACTTGGTCTGCAACAATGTCTAGGCGGGTTGTACATGTCCACGTAACATCTACATGAATGCAGGACCCAACATTTTTTGGCAGATCTGTGTAAATTCCGTTGGGTTGGAAGCAAAAATCTCAAAGAGTGATGTCTCAAAACCCGGGAAAATTAAACCTAAAACCACCCTCAGGACAAGAGTTAAATAAGAAATATGCTTCTTTTTTTTTTGGCTGAACTTGAGTTGTAGGTTGAGCGCTCGGTGCATGTGTCTCCTCCGAGCTCTGGCAGCGATTCTTCATGTACTGTACAGTATACATCCCATCCCACCATCCCCCATGCAAGATGTATGACGGGTTCCTCTGGGAAACGTGCCATCAAAAAGACTCCGGCTTCCTACGGTAGCTACGGCAACCGTTGCTATGGCTGCCTTACAGACACTTTTTGCAAATGTGTGCAAGTTTGCATGTACGGCAGTATGTGCGCTTCGTACACCTGCCTTCAGGAGTCGAGGTTGGGATGGAGTCAGCGTGTGTCGCCCGCGTCCACCTGCAACGCCACCACGTTTCTGCACATCTGTGTTTGTGCGCCGCACGTGATCCGCGGGGGATTAAAGTGTGACAGGCGATGTAACCGTCAATCCCGATTAAGACACGCGATCTCTGGCCTCTTCCTCTACCTTCTCGTCCTCCCCCTCCTCCTCCTCCTCATCCTCCTCCTCCTCCTCCTGTTTCTTGGCAGATGGACACATTTGGAAGCACTCTGCTGCACCAACACTACCCACACTCTGTAGCTCAGCCGCTGTCCAACGTAGAGGAGAGTCGTACTGTACAGTATAGGAGAGATGCGAAGCGGTAGGATGAAGAGCGGGCGAATGAGGGGTTTAGAGCGAGGGTGGAGGGGACGGAGTCGAGGGAAGACAAGTGACGGAGGGGATGAAAGAAGGGGAAGAGCGACGGGGGAGGACAGTTGCCTTCGCTTCAGCAGCAACGTGAACATCACTATCATGTCTTTTGACACACTTCACTAAAAGAAACTCGGGGGGCTTGTAGAAGGAGAGCAAGTTTGATCGTCGACAGAAGAGCTGTTGTTGTGGGAGCTGACAGCAGTTTAGAGGCTGAGGGGTTTTTGTGGAGGGGAATGTGCCTCGGCTTTGTCTCAGCGTTGCGTCTGAGAAACTTTGCTAGCTTCACTGTTCGCCTCGCTGGTGGTGTTTCATGGATTTCAAATAATGTAGTGCTGTGGCCTCCAGCTTTGTATCCATGTGTTTCACTTCACAACCAGCAGTGGAATGCATGACCTTGGCATCATTACAAATCAGTCTAAGTGTGTCTATGATAGACACACACATTAGCCGTGTTTCCATGATTGTATTTTTGAGTTTTAAGTTAAGGGAAAAATGTTAGTTTTACGCTCCCTTGTGGTGGTTTTCACATTTTCAAAAAAGCCCGTAATGGGACACAGAAACATCTTTTCAGAATAAGTTCAGACGTACCAAACATTTAACTCACATCCCTTATCAACTGTTTCCATTTTTTTTGTCTCCAGACAACTTGAATTATATCCAACAGCATGACATGACATGAAAGAATAAGGCTACAATGGAAAACAATTCCGTAAGACCTCTCTCCATTTTTTTCTTGTAGATGGACAAAGTTTTAAGGTTTGTTGAGTCACTTCATGTCAATTCAGATAGAATTCAGGAAATATGTTGTCATTTAATTTTAAATATACAGCGCCCTCCATAATTATTGGCACCCCTGGTTAAGATGTGTTCTTTAGCTTCTAGTAAATTCAGTTTTTTTTCAAAATAATATAGGAATATATATATATATATAGGAAAAATGAAAAAAAAAAGAGGAAAATTCCACTTTTAATTCAAGTGCATTTATTCAGTGCGAAAAAAAATCCCAGATTAAAAAATGATTATTTTGACATAAAATCATGTTTGCCGCAATTATTAGCACCCTTGATGTTAATACTTTGTACAACCCCCTTTTGCCAACAATTCATTTGAGTTGAGTTGAAGACTACATTTTTCTACAATTTTCAGTGTGAGAGTATGCTTCTGCAATCAAAATTGAATTCATTTTAAGGCTTTAACTCATCTTAACCAGGGGTGCCAATAATTATGGAGGGCGCTGTATGTATGGGAACATTCAGTAAGGCGAAATAATCCTCATGTGCAACTTGTAATTTTGCACAAATAATGACAATATATAGATCCCTGTACACACCAGTTTTTGTGGTGCTATGACTACGTCCACGTCACCATTTTGTCTTGTCAAAATAGCAAAAAACTGATGTCAAAGGTCTCAAAAGTTGGCTGAATGGTAAATGGTCTGCACGCATATAGCGCTTTTCTACCTGTGGCACTCAAAGTGCTTTACAATGTTGCTCATTCACCCATTCACACACCAATGGCGACAGAGCTGCCATGCAAGGTGCTGCCGCCACTGGGAGCAACTTCGGGTTCAGTGTCTTGCCCAAGGACACTTCAACTGTTGAGGGGCAGGGATCAAACCGCCAACCTTACGATCAGAGGACAACCGCTCTACCACCTGAGCCACAGCCGTCGACCAAAGACTTTTTTATTAGTATGAAATATCATCCACATATATATTTAAAAGAAATTTCTGGGGCTTCAATACTGATCTCATTTACAGATTTTGTACTTTTTTCCATTTTAGTGCCAGTTTGAAAAATGTGGCCTCTGCTGAAATCGTTCACCTTTCGATCTGCTGGAATCAAGTTTTTATGCAAAATTCATGTCTGTGGGAAGAATATTGCTGGACACAGTGCAGTCTTTAAAAAGCGGAATGGGTTAAAATGTGTCAAAATACAAAAATTCCCACTTCTGAAAACATGAAGTTTTCAAAATTCAGCTAAATTATTTTACCCAACCTAAAGTTGGTCACGAATAACAAGGTGGACGACACAGCAATCTGAAATGACATGGACTGACTCAGTTGGCAAACCACTAGCTTCTTTTACTATTCATTACAGCCATGCATAATACCACCACCTTCTGCCAACACTAGCCAGCCTAGTTTATTCACTCCAGAATAGTTCTCATTTTCTTTTTCACTTTTATGCTGCATTTCAAAAGTTTGCTGCAAATTTGTTTGATAACTATAAAGAACCACAGATAAAGATTAACAATAAATCGCTCTTTTTAAATTGTTTTTATTGATAAAATGTATTGTCTTACGCTGTAACATGTATTATTGCTATAATAAAATCTTTGGATTTATTTATAAAACAACAATTCAGACTATTTGCAGCTTCTCAAATGTGAGGATTGCTTCGGTGTTATATCATTGTGAATTGACTGTATTTGATTTTGGTTCGTTGGTTAGGCTAAATAAAACCGATCTGCGGACATCACAATCTGATTCTGGAAGCTGTAACTACTTTCTAACTTTTAATAGACGAAAGAAAAACATGATTAACCAAAAGGCTCATAATTAGACAATTCACTGATTAATTGATGTTGTCAGTTGAGGGAAAGTTAATGAGTGTCCTTTGTCTGCTTTTCATTAGAGATTTAAGTTTGGTTTGCAGAACTGGTCAGAAAAAAGCAAACATTTTGAATATGCTGCTTGAGATCAACAGCTACAATATACACCATAGGGGAAGTCTTATTAAAAACATATTTGCAGTTATAAATACACAGATGGTAATAATGACTCAAAAAGTAAATAATTCCTGGAAGGCTACTGATGTAAAGCTTTTGAATATAACACCAGCAATTGTCCAACCAATGAGAGCTTGGTCAGATGAGAGCATATCAACCAACCATCTGACTAATTAACCAGTCGACCTGAACACTGCAGTCCCACATGTTGGAGGACTGCATGCAAACTCTTCTCTGTAGCCTCAGTGTTCTTTGAATTCCCATAAATCTTCACTGTGTAGGCAGAGAGTTACGCAAACAGACGCCAAAGAGGAACCATAAATGCACCTTAACACACAGGAGTCACGTATTTTTGGAATACATTTATTGATGTTGGTTGGTTTCAGGTAAATGTGTGCAGTGTGGTAACGCTAAAGGATACAGATTGACAC